GCTCATATGCACTTCATATAAGAATGCACTGACAACAATCTGAATTAAAGAGAAATCATATGAAATGTCTGAGTCAACCAAAATTGCTCCTCTCGAAAACAGCTTCAAGAGTCGCTAGTTTTTCCAACGTACACACAGAAACGAATGTTACTTACGTTGCTTACTGCGTTAAAAAAAAGTAACAAAATATGAGAAGCAGCCATAAGCTAGAGATTCTTGGCCAATTTGAAGGAACATTTAGCCCCTATTTGGTTTAGCTAAAAATCAGATTTTAATTGATTTTGATAAAAGTTGATGAAATGTGTGGTTGATAAAAGTTGTGGGTTCCATGAAATGTTTTGTTGAAAATAGTTTGAGAAAAAATAAGTTTTAGAATATGGGGGCTAAACAGGGGCTTAATGTAGTAGAAATAGCTGAGTTTTGGAATGTTTGATCAAGTAAAGTAAACGAGAATTCATAACTAGTTCAATATCTTAATCCTGAGAGTTTCTTAAATAATCCACATTCTTAGTGGTATAACAATAATAAAATCATTAAATTTGTTTATAGTATAAGCATCAAATCCCCTTTCAAGTAAAAAAAAGATGATTTTCGATTTAAAAATTGAGTTGTAAGGACTAATGTTAAAGATCCTTACACTGCCCTGAACTATATCACGTCCAGCCCACCAGAGAAAAGCTCCCAGACCCACAATTGGTATGAGCACTGCGAGAATCTGGAACAAAGTATCAGCCATGTCAATATCAAAAATTCAACGAGAGCAATTTTTTGACAATACGATTGCTGCTGTCATTCAGCAGAGCTACAAGGTGTACAATGTTGTAAAATTAATCTGAAAGGCAAGAATCCTTTGAAATTAAACACAAGGATAAAATAGTCAGATAATGTAAATGCGACTAGATACCAGAAACGAATAGTAATAAGTTGGCTTAATCCATAGCAGTGCATCTGGATGCAATTTATGCATCTTCACTACTATTATTAGCTTCGTTGCAGCTGCTAATACTCTAAGAAAGAGTGATCTGCAACTGCAATCAGCATGCCAAACGCAATTTTTGTGTTTCCTTTTACTTTCTTATTTTCTGTAAAGAGCTCTTACAAAGTTTTAAAAAACTAATCACAACTTCTCGAGATCTGAGGCAAATTTAAAATTCATGTCAGCCTCCAGTTTCAGCTCTTTAACAATGTGAAAAATCCAAAAGCTCTACCGTCCCTCTCTATCCATCCAAGGACAGACGGACCGGTGTCCCCTTTGGTCAATAATCTAATGTTCCATACTTGTATATAAATAAAAAAATTTAAAAACTACAACTTTGATGATAACAACACAAGATTAGACGTGAAATCATATCAATGACAGTATCCAAAGCAAGATATCATATGCATTTGTTGGCAACAAAANTTGATGATAACAACACAAGATTTGAGGTGAAATCATATCCATGACAGTATCCAAAGCAAGATATCATATGCATTTGTTGGCAACAAAATGATACCAAGAACTCTATAGTTCACAATCATTTGCGTATGTAAAATTCTGATACAAGAAAAAAGAAACCATATCTGAGATAGAAAAGAAAGAGAGCAATACCCAAAGGGACACAATAGCATCAAGAAGCCAACCCAATTGCCCAGTCATAGAGAGATAAGTCAATAGAATTGCCAAAGCAAGATTCCCCAGAACTCTTGCAGTTTCGCTGTTAACCTTCCCGCCGCCGCCGCCGCCAATACTATTAAAGCCCTTATTGAATCTCGCCACAAAAACCCTTCCCGTCTTCGATAAAATCCCATTTTTACCCCTGCTCACTCCGAAGAACGACACTCTCTCCCTCAAAGCTCCTATCTTTAACCCGTCTTTGCGCAAAGATTCAATCTTTGTTCTCGAAAGAGAATAGTAATTTATGGGTTGTGAAAATTTTAACTTAAATATTCTGTGTTTCGTGTTAAAATCATTGTAGAGAGGGTTTAAGGCAGAGAAATTGATGGAAATTTGTACAAATGATTGCATGACAGTGTCTTATTGTAGTTGAAGAAGTAGAAATTCTTCAATTGGAGATGGAGGATTCCATTTGATGGCTTTTAAAA